AGGTATACGAGCTTCCATGTATGTCACTTCAGAGGGCATTCTTGGACTTAACAGTGAGTTTTTAAACTTAACCATCGGTGCAACGGTGAGCTCGTTCTGAATTGCTACTCGAGCTCACGCAGTACTCGCTTATAGTAAGTTCTCGTTACCCACTCACTCACTCACCTGGTTCTCACTCTCATATGATAAGGACTGTTGAATGGTGTTCGCAGTTGCATTGTACTGGCGGTCACATGGTGTTTGTTCATGGTAGTAGCTCCTAAACTACTATTGTATATCGTTAAAACTTCATAGTATTCTTAATAGCATTGAAATATTTGGTTACAGTTCCACTGACAGCATACTCGCTCTCCTCGATGTCGATCTTGAGGTAGTGCACCTGGGCGTCGACGTGACCGTTGGCCGCGAGGGCGTCTTTGTACGTCACCAACGTCCGGCCGTCGTCGTCGACGTGGCTGACGTTGGCGATGCCCCACGGCCGGTTCAAAACCATGCTGATGTTCACTAATGGTTACGCTTTAGTTTAAAACTCATCATTCATATAAATGTTTTCTTACAAAATTTGAAATCCCTAATGCCAAATTGCAGCCGGAATCTTCGTGTTAATCGCGGAATTGCTGTGTCAACAACGATCAAACAAAATTAGTATCTGAACAGGAATATCATTCCCGGTATTAGAACAGTGTTATCTGTAATTAAACATCATAGCCTAGGCTTGACCAGAGTCAGAGGTAATTTAATTTTGTGTAAGCAAGCTATATATAATAGACATCAAAATTCATCCTCGAACTTCTTTACTGGTCCAGATCTCAGTATTAGTTCATGGAAACCTTTCTTTTACGTTACTTTGAATCAGCATACATTTTCTACAGTAGCAGGTTGAGGCCTTCATAAAAACAAAGCACATGAGGTTCCTCACATCTTTGTCTCCATCAAAGGCTCTACACATCCAGGTCCCACCGATATCCGCCAGTTTATCGCAGTGCCCCGTCGGGATCTCCAGAAGTTCATTTAAGTCCCAGACGTTGGTCAGCGCAGGCAGGGTAGTCGAGTGAGGGCTGGCGGGTCGTCTTCTAAATGGTAGTGGATCCGTCAGTCTGAAAATACGAATATAAATGAATCTTCTATACGTTTTTTACCCATAGAGTAGTAATGGATAAACCGATACATAAACATGGTAGGTCTTCATCCAACCAGAGTCTCTCAGCGAAATTCAATCGGGTAATGTAATACTTAGGAAATTACAGTGTGCTTGCACGCATAATTCCATGCAAAGAAATAAAAATATAACTCAGTACTCACTGCAGTGAGTGACAGAGAGCGAATTTTCTCGTCGACGAAAACTTGAGGTCACGGACGGGCGGACGGACAGACAGACGAACATGGCGAGCACAATAGTGCATTTTTTCCATAAATGAGAAAATGCGCTAAAAAGGGGTAAAATATAATAATATTCAATTATTGAGAAATATTCAAATTTTGATAATCATAGTCTCATTTCCAAATCATTCTGGCCAAAATTCATCATTTTATACTTGTGTTGTTCAGAAACAGTGAGCTCATAAGTTATGTCATGCTTTAAAATAATATTCAAAGTTAAAATTTTTGACTAACCAGCAAGATAGCCAACGTTAATACCATTAAAACAAATAAAATTATTGCTTGCTAATTAAAGCAAGACCAGTTCAAAGTTACAATTCACATTTTACAAGGAATTCCCGCTCAACTCCTGTTTATAATACGGGAAAATATTTTTGACTATTCAAATTAAGTTAGCAAATTTTAATTTTTGGTCAAATATTTGCTTCCAGTATTACAATGCCTTATTTTTCTCCAACTAAAAATTTCGAGCTGATGTGTATCGTAAATGCGCATTCTGACATCTATATATGCAGTGACATGACTCAAACAAATACTCACACAAATAATTATATATCTATAAGAGCTTACTTATAATTAATATGAAATGTAAAACCGAGTGGTTGTCTGAGAGGTGTATAGGGATATTTTCAAGGGCTGTAAATCTATTGTGATAGAAAGTAGTCTGCTTGCACTATATGTTATCTCCATCGTGAGCTTGCAATCACTTACACGGCATCCCGATCTTCAGACCTTGAGATGCCAAAATCTCTTATCAGACTGGAAGATGAGATAAATATCAGCAACGTCAGTAACACTAACAACATCTTCCGTTTCTGACGATATGAAGAACTCCATGCGTAAATTATTTGCATCATTTTAATTTTATTAGTTTTATCCATTCAGTTTGAATCTGATAATTTACTCACTCTTTTCAATATTTGTTAAGGGATAGTAGTGGCCCTTGTGATGCAACATATGCAATCGACTGAATATCAAAGGAAATTCTCACATTACCATTCTATTAACAATTAATTTTTTTAATGAATAATTTTTTACTATATATCTGCTCTCTTAAACGAACACTTTCAACTGCTTATCGCCGAAAGCCCATGCAGGCGCGTAACTGACGCCTAACATTTGCTGAACCCAATAAGAAAGAAAAGTTTTGACTATCCTCATGCATGAGGAAAATGGGTTGCAATATTTCAAAGTCGTTATATTTATGGGGAAATAAAAACGCTCGGCAGCATGACAAAAAACGACATGCATTCGCTCTGCGGCAACAATTAGCAATTAAAATTAATGATCTTGTTTGAAATCCGGACTGCGCTGGATTTTTCCTAGAAGTCAAACTTAATTTGTTCGATTTAAATTTGTCGTTTACACATCAGAATAACATAACTTATCATAAAATCACTCAATTTTATCGGATATTGAAAGATTATTTCATCTTTATAAATTTGAAATTATTTTTCGTTTTTAACGTATATTAACTTTTCCAGACGTAAAATAGATACATTAGACACTGACTAAGTGACTCCATCGTCAGTAAATTATAAAATTAATGAAAATATTTTCAAAATAATATAATCCTTCTGCTATTTAATTTTGATATTTTTTTATTTTTAAATAGCAAGTATTTTAAAATAAGAAGTTCTGGTTGCCATTTTTTAACAAGATGCACACAAAACAACATCACGAGCGTCAACATGAAATATTAAGTTAATTTGTGTTAGCCGAGGGCAGCTACTTTAAAATTTTGTACACCGAATCTTTAGACTATCAATCCCAGTCACGTTTCGGTGATGTGGTTTCTTATTAAATTCGACTTTATAATCAAGTAACGCTACGAATGATCTGCCAGCTCAATGACATATTATGTCTTTATTATTGAATGAAAAATTTTTTTTCGGTAGTGTAATAACCATTTCCTAGTGTCTGCGAATTTGACGACCGTCCAGGAAAATATCCTGTTGGTAGACCGTATAATCGTACAACTCGTGGGTGAAGCGATTTCGATCAACTTCTCCCGACCTAAACAAGAATGGAAGGTTCATGTTTCATTAATTGATGTAATAATACTAATTAACACTATAAGATGACACGCGAGTCATACTCTCTGTACAGCAGGTCAGAATAAATTTGTCAAAGTAAATGCCAACATCAATCGTCATGAAACTCGCAAATGTAACCCAAATCATTGAAATTCTCGTGACCTAAACATGGACGGAATTTTAACACGATTTTTTGCGTAAAGTTTCATTTATATATGTTCAACATTCTTAGAGAATTTCTTATAGCTGTGAATTCTAGCTTTGCCGTATAACTTCTACATGAAGTCGAAATCTTCTAAATTTACACGACTTAACCTCGAGTGGAGTGATGACTCGGCCGAAAAAAGGGCACAAAACAAGCAGTGGATATGGATATAACCGATGTGTTTTCGAAACCCAACTAGCTGTGAAAATTAGATGATGTATAGCTTCCGTTTAACTGCCATGCGGCGACATAAATGGTTTTTCAGAGCTTCAAGTAACATCGACATACGAGTCGGACCTTGCAATAAGTCCAGCAGCTAATAAGCACTTACGGACCTGAGTCCAGCAGCTATCTCAAACAATCACCAGTTATGGAAAGATCGGGCTCAAAAGGCCGGATCCATTGTAGATTCAAGTCAAGAAAAGTACAAGAATCAGCAACAGGCCACGGAACTATTTCTCCAGTGCCAACACTTCCATTATATTCTAAGAATAAGATGTCTAGCATCGGCATGGGCTAATCATTAATTAACGATGGACTAATCTTTAACAATGACACTCCTATACAGGCCTGAGGTAGGGCATCAATCGAAATTTGATTTTACATATTAAAAAGACCTCAAGCAAGTGGTTTGAGCAGATTTGACTTGTAAATTTGAAATGTACAAAAAAGATAGGACGTGCCAGTCATATACAGTATTTCACAAACAAATTAAATTACATTATTCTGGCATCTAAAACTTCTATCGTTATATTCATTTATTTTCATATTGAGTGGATGGTTTATCTGTGTGACAATAATGACTTCATCTATGACTGTATCTTGACATTATTCGTGTGAAAAAATCAAAGTTTTGTTAAAAAAATACGTTTCACTGTAAAATGCATTCCGAATACATCAGTTAGCGCTTTTTCGTTTTCATTCGATCATAAGTAGAAAATATTCGAGATATACATTCATATTCCTCATACCAATTCTTCTTTATTCAGATGAGACAGACTGCATGCAATGATGCGCATGCGTGCAGGTAAGGGTATTAATTAACAGGTAACTAGGGATCAAATAATGATTTGACAGATGGGCATGAATACTTGGATACATTTTGACACATGTCAAGTTTATCGTAACATTTTGACTTACAGTATGTAACATTATGCTTGCATGTCCGTACTAAATAAAAAAAATATACAGTTTCCTGTTATTTGCCTTCAGTAATTATTTTTAAAAATAATGCAACTTGCATTGAATTCACGTTGCGTTTCGTAAATTGTGTTAAGTTAACCTTCAGCTACCGCCGTCGCTATAACAACCGATTTGTGACCTTCACTCCTGCTGGTAGTTTGTTGTCTTCTCTAATCTCTATTCGGATGTCAGAGCGAGTATAGGCGTTGAAGTGGGTGGTTGTGCGTTCCATCATCTCTTAGCCGGCATGGCTGGGGCGACTTCGAAGAAACTCTGCTTACGATTTTAGACCGATAGATGACGTTCTATCATGAAATCGTGTTTGTTAATTTGGGAGTGAAGAAAAACGATCTTATTTGCCTGTTTTGCTTGGTTGAGTGACTTAGGCTTACTTCTAAAGTCGAAACACAGAATTAATCATTTTCATCCGAAGGTAAGTATTGTTGATTTTTGCACCTAAGCAGTTTATCTGTTAACTCTTCCTACATAATCTGCCGTCTGCAATCACAATTTATAAAAAGCTTCTACAATCATCAATAATATTTTTAATGACAAATCTACGAACGAAAACCTATAATTTTCATGGGATTATCATCTCTATATTAGTCTTTCATGATCACTATGAAGAACCATGAATCATAAGTCCACTTACTTACCTATGTTTGATACCATTTTAGACTATTGAATCATTTGAAGTTGATAGCATCCATGAAGTTGATATTTATATGTTCAATGCCATGGGAGATGTACATATCTCTGGCCTACTTCCTGATGTTATGTCTTGCGTGCAATGATGTGAATACAGACCTCTGTTTTATTTTAAATTCAATGACCGAGATGCCAAAAAGCCACTGAGGTGAGCTGCATGACTACCTCAGTAACTGCTTAGGTTAGGATGTCACAATCGCCTATGGAGTTAGGACAGCGCACGCGCCACCCCGCGCCAACCGCCGCCCGCATGTCCTCATCGGCGCCAATCTGCGATCTCAACGTCTTGTAGTCGTTAAGCTGATAACATTTGATGTACGCAACATCCCATAATCCCATGTATATACATTGGCCTTGCAACACCGTCTTACTGTGAACGATTTACACTTGTAGATTAGCTGTCTATAAGATTACATATCATATGTCAAGGTTTGAAAGCTGTAGGCTTGTCATAACTACGCTACGGTACCTATATACTTTTGGAGAACATTTTCTGTGAAATTTCAGACACAAAGGTAAAGGGTTCTCAAAATTAGTATAGATCATTTTGGACTTGCTATTTATTTGGGTTCAGGTGTAGATGCGGCGTTTATGACTGAACCATCGCTTGCAAATTTTTTATTGTTTAAACCTTCCCAAGTTATAACATTCTCGATGATTCTCGAACTAGATTTGAGTCGATATTGGTAAGAGGTATGACTGACTAGTCTCCATCGACGACACTTCCATTCTACGTGAAATTTTTTATAATGCGACTAGGAGGGTTGCCTAAGCACTTAGTATTCTTTACAGTGAGGTCTCCAGAATTTTAACCTGAGTTACCAAGGGTACTGTCGAGGTCAAGGAAATTTCATGTTGAACGATATCGATATGTTACTTATGTATGAATCATTAGTGTATTTAACTGCCTCTGCCTGCAACTCTGATGCAAGTAAATGTTTGGAATTTAGGTACATTCGTTTAGAAATTAATTTTCTGGAATATGATTCAGATGATCTTACAGTAATCGTTGTAATGTTGTAGATTATTTGCCACGTTTTTAATATGGTTGATATTATGATTTAATGTAATTAAATTGTTCATATCGTAGTATCCAAGTTAGGATGGTATCATGGTAAGATACGAAAATATTGACGTAAAATTGGTGCCGTGAAGCAATTGAACCATACACAGATATGCTCGTGCTGCAATTGGTCGAGACTCGAGTTTGCTACGTTTATCAAATAACAGACATTACAACTTTTTTTTCAATCGATAGGCGTATGATACCTTTGGGTTAGCCTGTCTCGCAGCCGCTCCGCTGAATCTATGTTTCAGTCATAGTGTTTAGGTCGCAGCGGCATTTCCAGCAGAAAATTTCAGTGACAGTATCGGGCTATCGGCGCTGGGGCATTAGCACTCCAGCGACATCTACAGAAATGGCACAACTTGCTGTAGCACGCACCATCAGCAGCAGTTACAGAAATGAGAGCATTGGGAGTAGATTCAATGGTAGCACTGACGGAAACGACCTGCTTGACAGTTGACAGCACTCATTGCAACAGTGACGGTAACCATGGAACTGCCAGTAACGCCAGCACTGGTGCACAGCAGTAGTGACTGCAATCGGTGCCTGTATCTGCAGGGGCAAAGGTGGAGGACGGTGATGTAGATCACCTCGCCTTATTGGACTTAGACGCCTTTAAATTGCATCGTATTATTTACTAATCCAGTTCTCCTTCCTCAACGCATTTAAAAAAAAAACATTTTTATTTGTTATGTGGAGCCTTGAATTTCAATGACAGACCGGCATGTAATTTTATTTTCTGAGACTTGTGTTGTGCAGGAAATTCGTTAGATAGCAGTATTGTGCCAGTATTCGGCGCTGAAAAAATTTTTATATGGGTCTCAAATGTTTTTACTGCATGTTTATGCCATTGATGTCATGTTCCATGTACGGAATTTTTACAGATCATCAAGCAAGTAGAAAAGTTCACCTGCTTTCATCATTTTCCTCTACGTCCACAATCTACATTGCAATTTCTGTTCATTCCATGTTCAATTTTTTGTTTAATCCCACGAAAGATTTTGTTCATTTGCTCTACTACCCTATTAACTAAAAGCACTTGTAATAATTTTCTTGCCCGAAATTATGCGCTGATCGAGAGGTTAAAAGTTAGGGCATAGGTGAATGTTCATCTGAAATAGTTTGTTGAGAAATCGTTTCTCACATCACGGACGTGCCGCGCTGCTATCTGGACAACAGGAAACGCTACCCCTAGTCACGTTAACTGCGCCCTCACTGCGCATGCGCTGCGACCTTCATTTCACAAGTGTTTACGAAATTCGCATTTACTTTGGTATGACTTTATAGTGAGCAATTTAATTAGCGAGATTAGTTATTGAACGCCATGAGTTCTAATTGGACATTAGCAATGCTCTAAACAATAGCTTAAAACTAGTACTATTTCACTACCACGATTTCGGGTGATGCCTGATTATAAGGTTTAGCATTTAAACTCGTATTCCATTACCACGATTTCAGGTGATGCCTGATTATAAGGTTTAGCATTTAAACTCGTATTTCACTACCACGATTTCGGGTGATGCCTGATTATAAGGTTTATCATTTAAAACTCGTATTTCATTACCACGATTTCAGGTGATGCCTGATTATAAGGTTTAGCATAGTACCTACCTGATGCATTGATGCCCACTAATTCCGTAATCAGCGAGTTGGTCATTAGAACAACGATTATTGTTGTCACTTCTTCATAAAAATTTTGAACAATGTCACAAAAACCGTGAGTTGCGTTCTTAAGTTCCTCAGCTAATTGCCATCAGCCACGTTCATGATCACTGGACGCGGTAGTTCTTATAGAGCATCGTGGCATTCAACGCACATCTCGCTCTGACCTTCCCTCTTGCCATACTCGTGCCTCCTGATCTCCAATTTTGTTCTCTTTACTGTCGAATTTTAATACCTTTATGAGCCCTTTACCCGTATACTAATGTAGTTAATATGAATATAAATTTAAATTTTTTCTATTACTATCTTTTGCGCAAATGAAATCGAATAATTTCTTTTTGGTTAATATGATTTTGAGAACCACTGCTGCAGATCGTCAGCCTGCTCCATGCTTATTGTTCTGTCGTTATTCCTGAGACGAACTGATCCGACTACTTTATCGTTATCAGTGTAGAAATAAATGTCTTGTTAAGCACAAGAGACACACAATTTTTGCATCAAATAATTCGTTTTTTTTTCAGTAGCCCTTTTGCTTTCATATGCTAATTAAATCACCTATATTCTCACAGAACCCTGTATGAAACGAGATGCCCTAATTTTCGGGATATAATTATCTAAATTTAAATCCTTCATAATTTTTTGGTTTCTTTGAACTAGTCCATATGCCTGCCATTCGCTATTTAACGTCTGAAGCAGATTATGAAATTTTGTCATTAATTAATTATTTTACGGCATGATTGATATCTGGAATTTGTAAAAACTAGCAGGTTAATCCGTCTTTGCTGTGGATAGATGAACCCTGAAGATTCAGAATTTTGTTCCTCCTATCAAATCGTTGTCCCTGCTAACATAACATTTTTCTCACCGTAGTAATGTCAATGAAAGAATGGCCCCTGAAACAAACACTTATTTAATAAAACGTCAATTCAAATCGCTTTTTGTAATGTGAAACTAATTAAAACTGTTTTTTTTTTTTTGTTTCGAAATATGTAGATTTATTACGTATTAACTTGAGTTCTCTCAAAGAAGTAAACAAAACAAATTCAAGGATATTTAATGGATTATGGAAACAAAAGATTGTTAAGCGTTGCAGCGTATGAAGTTCTCGGACGGAATGCGATCGCAGTTGAGGCGAGCGGGTGAGAGGTTAGCTGATCTGGCTGAGGAATGTGGTGCTGGTGGCACCCGCAGCCTTCGTTTTTGTATCTCCTGTTTCTCGTGTCTGTTCATTTTCTCACTGCGCACTGCCATTTACATGTACATCTATTATATTAACATCCGTCATCAATGTTGACTTAATATTGAAGTGTTTTGCTGATCATCACCTCAGTTCCTATTAATCACCAATCATATGAATTCATCATTTCAGCGTTTTAAGTTAAAAAATCTCTGCACTTGTACTGTACCATTCTCTTACAATTAATCTCATAATGCAAATTCCATGTAAAACCGCACATTTGCCACTTCTTTTTTTAATGTTTAATTGTTATTCCCATTTTTGATGCCACCATTTTCCGTCATTTGCACTTGTTGAATTTACCCAATTTTGTCGTTGATATATATTATCCTGCACTCAAGTGCGCACAGAAAAAGCTTTTGCTCTTCAACTAAAAGATTTTATTTCCTAAAAGATTTTTATTTTTATTTTTTAAAGACTAGATTTATTTCCTATTTTGCAATAGTTGCATTGAAACTTGTAAAAAAGCGTTAAACTTGAGGTTTGTGGAACAAAAACCGCGTTTCAAGAAAATTCCGTCCCGCTGTCTTGAGCCACGGTTGATCAAACGAGAGGCGACGTGCTCTTTGCTCCCTCTTTTCTTATTAACAAGACGCAATCTCCAAGTCTCCATATTTAATTTGAAGGCCAGGCTTGACGGTCATGGCAGAAGAATGAAGTTTATGTATCGTGGTTTGGGGTCTAAAATTTTTGTAGATTAAACAAATTTCACTCACTGAAATGCATGTTTCTAGTTTGCCAAAAAGATTAGTAGTGATCA